ACACTTTTGTGAGGGAATCAGAGTGCCACTAAAACTTTTCTTGCTATGGCAGCAGTTTAAAGGATATTACTACCTCAGGGCCAATATTTAGGTTTACTTAAATGTTAGGATAAGGTTTTACAGATCCTTTTTGATGGTATGAACTTAAACTCCAAGTTCCTTGGAGATTTAGGCCCAGAGTCTGATGTTTTTCATAGAGTCTTTGGAATTCCTGTATAAGATTTTGGCAGCAGGAAAAAGTTCATTTATCCACCAAGGATTTAGCCCCCTTTCGTACTCCTTATTAATTCTTTGCTTCACATGGAACCAAGGCTCATTTTATATTCCTTAAGTAAAGTCATTTCCTTTGATAACTGAGATGATCACCTCACATAGCAGTTGTAGCAGTGTGCACAGACCTCCTAGCATTTGCTCTTAGTCTCTTTGGTTTGGCATCTGAAATTTTGATACCCTTATTTGCTTAGCTCAGCTGTGTGTTTAAAACAATTATTATATATTTAGCACACCAATTATTCAGAGGTATTCAAAAGTATTTAAAAAGAAAAGCAGAATGAAGATGAGAGTGAGTAGGAAAGTGGACACAATATGTTGATAGTAGAAGGAATATCAGGACCAAGACTGATTGACCCAAACGTAAAACAATCTAAAACGTGGTGTGATTTTGAGCAAACCATGAATCTTGGAGAAGGAAATGGAATCTTACCACAGACTTTCTTTTGTGAGTGATATTTATATGGTGATAACGAACAGTTGCTTTTGCTTTGTTGGGTCTCACTGTTTAGAATTAATCTATTTAAAGCATAGGAGGCTAATTATACTTTCAGCAGAATGGCAATAGCATTCGTCTTAAGAGTATACAAATATCAAATTGTACAGTATTCTAGACATCTATAAACAATGAGACCAAAAGAGGATAGTCTTAGGAGAAAAACTATCACCAAGTTGTAATACCAAGTGTCTCTTCATGTATATGTAAAATAACATACATACTGAAATAAATTCCAAAGATGAGGAAACTCAGGTGACTCTGTATTCTTTACCTCATATACAGTGTATTCACATGCACGTCTGAGGGAGGGTGGGGGAAGGCACAGAAGCAGTGGGAAATGGGTAAAAAAGTGCAGCAGTGGAGCTCACTGGCTGCACTGGACTCTGAACCATGCAGGGAGGGAACAGATGATACTGTGCAAAAAGAAGGAAGTACTTATTACCTGACATGTGTAAAGGTAACCCCGCTGTATATCACCTATAAGACAACAATAATTAAAATAAAAATACAAAAAGAAAAGTTTGGAAAAGACCAAAATTGTAACAAGTAATTTATTGATATAACTAATCAGTAATTCTCAGCTATATTCTTCACTAAATTACTTAGAATTTTCTTTATGTAAGCAATCTTCTTACGATAGCCTTTGGCAATGGTATTTTAATTTCTGTGGGTAGTACTCATGTTCCTAAGCAATGAGACTCTATTGCTCTCAGATCTTTGCATCACTCTTGATGACTCCGCTGCATTTTCCATGTAACCAGTGGTTGCTGGGAATGATAGCAGTTACGGCTGAGAATTGTAGAATTTAATTGTCTATGTGACATCATTTTTTTATTAGTCACAGGGCATGGTTTATTCTTTGGCAAAATAAGTACACTGTAGTACAGATTTCAAAGGTGTTTTCCCATTCTGTAATCTATAAATCATAAATAAGGTAAATTCTAATATTCATCTACTATATTAAAAGTATTCTATATTACTTGTGTTTGGAAAATACCTTATTTATTATTCAGAAATATTCTCCTTAATTTTATCTCACTTTCTTTTAGTCCATCAAAAATTGTTTGTGGTTATTTCTGTTTGAGGCATTCTTCTGGCATCTATGCTTTTTCCAGTACCAGGATAGGTGTTGTGATAAAGTATTGAATTTGGTGCATGATGATTGCCTTCATAGCCAGGTGAACACATGAACTGACATCAATTAGGTAACTTAGAAATATGCTGTGGTATTACCAAGTGAGCTCACAGGACAAACACTGATCTCAAACTTGAAGGGGCTGGAAGAAGTGTCATTTAAACAGAGACCTGAAGTGAGAGGTCAAGAGAGAAATGGGAAGAAGAGGCATGGAGGTGAGAGAACGAGGGAACGTGATACTTCTGAGGAGCCAAGAGAGGCATACTGTTCCTGTCATAGAAGGTATATAGTATTCTCATCTCAGAAGAGAAGGTCGCTCAATCCAGAGTGGAAGCTAGATAAACAGGGCAGTCTGGCTTTCAGGGTTTCAAGTAGTAAAATTTCATCTTCCTTTTGTATTTTGGAGGTAATATGAGAGGTATAGAATGGATAACACATGAGAATGGAAGATAAATTCTGAGTGTACCAGAATCTGTTGGCAGTTGGCATGTAGATTTGACAGATACTATAGACATAGAATTGGAAATACTTTATGGTCAACTTTATGTTGATTATGATGGAGGAAGGAGAGTCAAGAATGTCTGTAATTGCTACTACTGGAGGTGTGGTGTTGGTGTTTATTGAGATAAGGGACACAGGAGTGGAAGTATAGTTTAAGGGAAAAATGTTACATTCAGTCAGATACCTGTGGAACATCCAGGTGTCCAGTAGGAAGTTGGTTATAAGGCACTTAGGTTAAAAGGAAAGATAGAATATAGTTACAAATGTAGCCTACAAATGATCTGTGAAGTCATAAGAGTAGATGAACTTGTTCAGGATGAGTAAGTGAAACAACAATAGAATAAGACTTAGAATAGAACTTGAAGATCACCCAGGAACAGATAAAGATGGAGGTAAAAATGTGCTGAAAGAAGTCAAGGAAAGAACAAAGTAGTGTTAGATTCTGGTCAGAGGTCAGGTAGAATTAAAATACTCACTGAAGGCTGGTCATGAACCAGTGTAAAATATTTTCACTGAAATTTTGACTATGTACAACTTTTAAAAGCATTCTTAAGGTAGAGGAGGTTTTCTTGTTGTTATACTTGTTGGCCTGTCCTTTAGGTTTGTGTTCTCGGCATTTGTGTTTAAACAGTGATGGTTAGTAGCAATTGAGATAATGAAAATAGAAGTAAGAGAAGCCCTAATTAATTAAGTAAGACTCAAGTTTTGGGATAGATGCGGGACAGATGATAGCTATATAGTCAGAATCTAAATGTCTCATGTCCTGATAAATAAATAGAGGAGGATAATCCATTTTGAGGAGTTTGGCTTTAAGGGTTTTAAATAGTAAAATTTCAGAGATGGAACATTTCTAAATGATGGCAAGACAAGATATAGGAGTTGTTGAAGGTTGGGTGAAGAGAAATGAAAGTCCTGATTGGTTGTGTCAGGTCAGTCTTAGAATTGCAGTTGCTCATGTTGATGATGGGGTGCAATGGGACTGAGAAGTGACCAGTGAAGTAAAGGCAGTAGGTTTTTATTGCTTAATAAATAGCATCAGCTTCAGAAGGAACCTGTTTTTATAAAAGGGTGGAGTAAGGGTATGCAGACAGCATTGGAGAATGAGGAGGCAGCCAGCTTATTCTTGATGCTGTAGCCTATATAGTATATGAAATGAACAGTCCTAGCTTGAGAAGGCTGTTCTTAGGCAAGCTATGCTTTAATACGGGAAAGAAATGGAATGCATGTGTGGTGATGACACTGAGGATGAATGACAGCCCAGGTCAAGCCCGAAGCACACAAGACCCATAGCACACACAGGAGGAACTGAGCCTGATACTAGTCCCTTGAGAATCCATGTTCAAGGAATAGAAATGTTCAAACATGTTGTGATATTTCATAGATATCAAGAGATTGGCCAGTGTCTGGACAACTTTATTTTGGGGGGAATAGAAATGTTCAAACATGTTGTGATATTTCAAGAGATTGGCCAATGTCTAGACAACTTTATTTTTGATTATTTTCATTTCAATTTATTCTGTGCATTTGAAAGTTAAAACATACAAACTACCACTAAAGCTTCATAGTATTGAGCACTTTAAAAACAGAACATTAAGTATTTGTGTACATTTCTCATTTTTAAATTTTACATTATATTATACATCTTTGTTATATTTAAAGGTAAAGGTACTATTAACACCTACAATCTCCCCCCCCCCCTTTTTTTTCCCCTAGTATTGAGCTATAAACTCAGGACTTTGCACTTGCCTGGCTTGCTTGCTCAGCTGGTACTCTACCACTGGAACATGCCTCTGGCCCTGCTTTTTGCCTGCTATTTGGGAAATGGAGTCTCACAAACTTTTTTGTGTGGACTGACTGGCTTCAAACTGCAGTTCTCTAGATTTCAGCCTCCTGAGCAGCTAGGATTATAAGTATGAGCCACTGAAGCCTGGCTCATAAATCTAATCCTTTATAACCCATTTGTCTAGCCAAAGTAAAATCTGTTAAGTTCTATTAAAATTTCTGTACTTGAGATAAATGTTTAGAACCTTATTTTAATAGTGTTGCATAATTATTTATTGTTTTGACATTTAAGTCTGAGCAATAGCACTGTAGAAGCAGTTTTCACAAAAAGTTTGCGGCAAAAGAAAATAGGTTTGGAAATAACTTTATTTTGCTAATTTTCTGCTTTAATACTAACATCTATAAAATAAGTTTTCTGTTAAGTATAAAATAAATACGCTCAACTAATATTTAGATTTAAGGGTTGGTTATAGTGGGTAAATTGTATTGTGGTTAGTGATGTTAGTTTTTTTTTTTGTAGGACCATATGTTTAAGTTCTCTTCTGTTTAATTTTTAGATTTGTTGCTATTTCTGCTACATCTTCATTTCTTTTTTAAAATTTTATTTTATTGCAAAGATGCTGTAGAGGGGTTACAGTTACATGAGGAAGGTCATGAGTACATTTCTTGTCCAGCATTGTTGCTAGCATTAGGGGAAGAGAATGATAGTAATTATATAGCTACTTGAATAGAAAAAGATCAGATCATATATTTGCAGTGACCATGAAGGGAACACTGGGCATTACAAGCGTTTGCATTGCTTGTGTCTTTCAGGGACTGTGGCTAAACCTGCTGGATCTCTAGCCCGAAGTAGCAGTTTGTGTCGCTCTCGTCGTAGCATCGTGCCCTCTTCGCCACAGTCCCAGCGAGCCCAGCTTCCTCCACATGCTCCTCATCCAGCCCACCCTCGTCATCCTCACCTGCCTCAGCATCCCCAGCATTCGTTGCCTTCCCCTGATCCAGACATCCTCTCAGTGTCAAGTTGTCCCGCACTCTATCGGAATGAAGAGGAGGAGGAGGCCATTTACTTCACTGCTGAAAAGCAATGGTATGGGCAGCGAATAACCTGCATAATATCGGGTTGCGTTGACATGAGGGATATGCGGATGAGCATGGAGGTGGGAACTAAGGTGCATTGTATTGGCTTTCTGTGGCTGTGTAACAAGGTGCCACAGACTCAGTGGCTTCATATGAACACTCAAGTCTATATCAGAGTCCAAGCCTAGGGGGACTACTTTTTTATTTTTATTTTTGTTGATTGTGGGGCTTGAACTCTGGGCTTGGGCACTGTCCCTCAGCTCTTCAGCTCAAGACTAGTGCTCTACCATTTGAGCCACAGCCGCCACTTCCAGTTTTCTGATGGTTAATTGGAGATAAGAGTTTCATAGACTTTCCTGCCCAAGCTGGCTTTGAACCGTGATCCTCAGATCTCAGCCTCCTGAGTAGCTTGGATTACAGGCATGAGCCACCAGTGCCTTGCTTAGTGTGACTACATTGCTCAGGGTCTATAACCTCCTAAAGTGAAGGTATTGGCTGGACTGTGTTCTCATCGGGTCCTTCTCAACACCCATGTGTTGAGTAGCAGAATTCAGTTCCTAAAGGCAGCCTGCCATTCCTTGCAGTTTGACCTCTGTCTTCATATGGAGCCAGCAGCAGAATTTCCCTTCTATAAATCCAGCCTTTGCTCTGAATCTCTTAACTTCCTCTGTCTCAGATCTCTGGACTCATATTTAGTTACTTAGACTTATTTTTTTCTATGACATCCTTTCCTAATAGCACTTATATTTGACTGTGATTAAATATCTAGTAAAGGTACATATACTGTAGAGGCTAGGAATTTGCAAGCCATTCTACAAAGATGTAGGTAGATACTTGAGGTATGAGCTTGCCTAGAAGCCATTGGACACATTTGCTCAGGCTCCAAATGTAAACTTGTTAAATAATTTTATATTAGAGTATAAATGCTTGAGCATAAGTTGTACCTAAAGAAGCATCAAATATGCCAGTCATGGTCATCATGCCTGTCCCAGCTTCTCATGAGGCAGTGATAAAAAGTATTATGGTTCGAGGCAAGCCTGGGTAAAAAGTTAGTGAGAGGTAGTACTACCAGAACAAACAACAAAATCAAGTTGCCAAACAAACCCAAAACAATAACAAAAAACCCTCCATCAATTATTAGTGAGAATTTAATTTATTGCTACTTAGTGATTTATTCTGTTGCATGCTGGTATTTGCTAGCACATACATAATATATCCCAAAGCTTAAGAAATGCTGGAGAACTTAAAGGAGAAATGATGAAATTAAATAAATGTGGATTGGGAAGGTGGCTCAGTGGTAGAATGCTTGCCTTGCATGCATGAGGCCCTGGGTTCAATTCCTCAGCACCACATATGCAGAAAAAAAAAAAGCCGGAAGTGGCACTGTGGCTCAACTGGTAGAACGCTAGCCTTGAGGTGAAGAGCTGAGGGACAGCGTCCAGGCTCAGAGTTCAGGCCCATGACTAGACACCCCCCCACCCCCCCAAAAAAATGTGTTAAATTTGTGACCTGATTAGTTTCACAAAATGGATATAGCAGCATGTATTCTAGTCCAGCTTAAGACCCCAGTGTTATTTCCCTCCCTGCCTGCCTCCTTGCCTTCCTGTCTGCCTTCCTCCCTCCTTCCTTCCCTTCCGCTGTACTAGTATTTGAACTCAGGTCATTACACTTGACAGGCCGACACTGCACCACTTGAGTTATGCCTCCATCCATGTTTTTCACTGGTAACTTCTGAATTAGGGACTCCCTTCATGTCTGGGCACATGCCTAAACCTGTTTTTAGGCTTCTCATCATTGATGGAAGTGTTTGCAGCTGAATTCAGCTTCTCTCTGTGGAGATGGAATCTTAGTGATTTTTTTGGTCTGATCTAGTTTGGAACCATGGTCCTCCCAATCTTAGCCTTCCAAATAGCTAAAGATGATGGGAGTGAGCCACTGGAACCCAGCTAGCAAAGCAGCTTTTGGTTTTGGAAGAGATCCCACATAGATTGAGATGACAGGTGAGTGTCATTGCACCCAACCAACTGTGGGTTAAAAAAGGCCAAGGACAGCCGGGCGCTGGTGGCTCACGCCTGTAATCCTAGCTACTCAGGAGGCTGAGATCTGAGGATCGCGGTTCAAAGCCAGCCCGGGCAGGAGAGACCGTGAGACTCCTATCTCCAATAAAACCACCAGGAAACCGGAAGTGGCGCTGTAGCTCAAGTGGTAGAGCGCTTGCCTTGAGCTGAAGAGCTGAGGTACAGCGCCCAGGCCCAGAGTTCAAGTCCCACAGCCGACAAAAAAAAAAAAAAAAAAAAGGCCAAGGACTAGACAGATATTTGCACTGTCTAATAAAAGTTTTCTCACTAATGGTATGTCCTGTGCTGGCCTTGAACTGTGATCTTCCCTTTTTCTACCTCCCAGTTAGCTAGGATTATAAGCAGAAGCCACTACCCCATACAGCTGGTAAATCAGCTTTTGATTTGAGAAGCTAAAGAACTTCAAGGAACACCAATATATTCCATTCAGTTACCAATCATCCACTCAGCAAAAAGCCACTTCACAGAAACATGGCTACTGTGATTGATTTCCGAGTTTGGTCATTTTATCATATCTAAGCTGCCTCCTGCCTTTAGTAGCACTATCACATTTTGAAAGCATTTGGAAGCTCTGTATTACATACAGGTATATTATGTGAAATTATTAATTAAATCTTAAAGAAAATGTTTTAGCTGGTATCCATGGCTCATGCCTATAAATCCTAGCTACTGAAGATGCTAAGATCAGAGGTTGGAAACTAGCCCATACAGATTCACTAGACTCATCTTCAACTAGCCACCAAAGGCACAAACTGGAGTTATAGTTCTATATAGTTCTATATACATCTATATATACCGTATAAATATATCTATATATATATTCTCTAATACCTTATTTAAATACTTAGCCTAGGGGGGTTTGTACCTTGTAGTAAAGATACTCTTCACTTACCTGTATATAAGGTATATAGAAATGTCTAAGAACAATCTTAACAAATGCCTAAAATATGGCTTTATCATGATGTATTTGTCAAAAGTAAATGCAAAAACAGTATGAAAAGCAGTAGTAATTAAAGGCCACCAAAGTGAGAGGCCTTCTCTGTCCATTCTTTCACTTTATTTCTTTGCCAGATTACTTTTACCTTGTCTGTACTTTCTACTTTTTAGTCTTTCTTTTTCACAGAGTAAACAGTACTCATGTTGGGCTCAGGACATGAAAAGTAAACTAGGCATGGTCCCACTCCTCACTATTCCATTTTTTTCTTTCTCATTTGTTACGTATTAATTTCTCACCCTGAGCTTTAACGTTGTTCTAGTGCAGAGAATACAGATGTTTCCTCTAAAGTTTCTTTTTCTTCTGGCAACAGCATAAACAAGTTAATATAAAATGCCATTTTTGCTGTTTGTACATGCTGGGATGTTGAAGATGGGTAAAGGAAAATGAATACTCCTTTTCACAGGTGATGAGGAGGGGCCTTTCCGTGGAGAGTGCAGTAGCTTGAAGGACATACACAGTAAGCCACAGAGAGTTGAGATGGAAGGTTTTAGCAGACAGAGGAAACAGCAGGTGCCAAGCCCTGTGGGAGTGTCTGTGCGTGATGGAGGAACAAGACAGCTGCTGTGGCAGTGAGGAACAAGAAGGACATGGGGACAGAGCCAGCCATACCAGGGTCTTGTAGGCAGGGACTTTGGATTGGAAGGTCTTGAAGTGACTGAGGTGTGGTGCTTGAACTTGTTTGAAGTCCCACCACTGGCTGTGTAGAGAAACAACTGAGAGAAGCACAGGATGGAAGCAGAGAGACCAGTTAGGAGCAGTGGGATCATTTAGGTGAGGTCAGAGAGGTTCTGGAAGAGCAATAATCGCACAAGGAGTCGTAAGGAACATGCGCTTGAATTATGTGTTGAAGGAATGGCTGTATAACATTTACTATATATGATGGGTTTGGGTTATGAACTTTAGTTTTCTGTCCTTCTTTCTCTTTCTACTGTAGAGAAAGTGGGAGAAATAGTCACAAAGGAATATTTCTGCGGGAATTTATTGATGACTCACTTCTTGAAACTAGCATTGTAGAGTTACCTCTCACCTTCTGTCTACTCTGTCACACTTCAGTTCTGTTTGTCCCCTTTTAAAACTATAGTAGACTTTACGTTTTAGTGTAGAAGGTTCTTTATTTCCTTAGGGAACTGTATTTCATAAAGTTAATGACACTTAAATGAAGGGAAAAGCAGTGACCAAAATTCCATTGTTTCAAATATATAGATTCAGAAAAAAATTAGTCAAAGAAAACAAAACTTGAAATGTTTAAAAAAACTATAATATTCAGACATTTTTATTTCCCTCTCAATTGAAGAAAGGATGTTTATTTCTTATATTCTTTTTGTAAGATTATAGTATACATAAAAATTAAACAATTTTAGTAAGCTCTACTAAAATCATAATTTTCTAGTTGAATTATGTACAGAATTGTAGCATTTTTTATGTTTTAGCAATTAATTAATGACAGTAGTTTTAGTTTGAATGTCTGTCAGCACCCTTAGGAATACACTGATTTAAAAGTTTTACCATTGACTGTCTCACTCAGGGAAGTGCCAGACACAGCTTCAGAATGTGACTCCTTAAACTCTTCCATTGGAAGGAAACAGTCTCCTCCTCCGAGCCTCGAGATATACCCAACAGTGTCTCCTCGAAAGATATCCAGAGATGAGCTCTCCCTAGAGGATTCTTCCAGAGGAGATTCGCCCATAACAGCAGATCTCTCCCGGGGCTCTCCTGATTGTGTGGGTCTGACAGAAACGAAGAGTATGATCTTCAGTCCTGCAAGCAAAGTGTACAATGGCATCTTGGAGAAATCCTGTAGTATGAACCAGCTTTCTAGTGGCATCCCGGTGCCTAAACCTCGCCACACATCATGTTCCTCCGCTGGCAACGACAGCAAACCAGTTCAGGAAGCCCCAAGTGTTACCAGGATAAGCAGCATCCCCCATGACCTTTGTCATAATGGAGAGAAAAGCAAAAAGCCATCAAAAATCAAAAGCCTTTTTAAGAAAAAGTCTAAGTGACCTGGCTGACTTGTTGGGATTCCATTTCAGCGGCACCTGTAAACTTTTTTTCTCCCCTCCTTTACTTCCTGTCTTTGTTTTAATTTTAGGACTGTAACTCCATTGGGGCTTTCGAAACTGGATGCCATAGTGGAATGTCCTTCAAGGCAACTGTCTACTGTCTGCTTATTTAAATGACTAGATAGCCAATTCATCAAGTCAGTTATTACTGAAATATCATTAACAGATGAGACAGTTTACAGTCATTTTTGCCTATTTATTTCTGCATTTTTGATGGTGATGTATATACAATATTTTGTTGAAAGCCACTATGGACTTATAAGCTTTAATGGACTAGTAAGCCAGCATGGGCTTGCAAAAATTTCTTGTTTACCAGAGCATCTTCTTATCTTTCCACAGAGCTATTATGGACTAAATAACTTAAAAGAAGTGAAACTAATTGCACTACTGTTTTCCAGACTGGAAAAAACAATCTCTGCAAGTGAAACTGTATAGAGTTTATAAAATGACTATGGATAGGGGACTGTTTTCACTTTTAGATCAAAATGGGTTTTTAAGTAGAAACTAGGGTTTCTAATTGACTTGATTTCTGGAAACGAAAACCCATGCTTTTATTATGGGACGCTTCTTCAAAATGCATTTAATATAAAGGTTCAAGTCCTGCTGTAAAGATCATGTTTTGTTTTCCCCAGGGCTTTCACTGTGATTTACTGCATTTCAGGCTGTATGAAAAATTTAAATAATTTAAGGCAAGAAACCTCTTGATTCTTTATGCGAATGGAAGAGTTAAAGCTTGATTGGAGGACTTAAAACATTCACAAGCGAAACTGAGGTGGGGAGTGTGGGGATTCAGACCCTTGTTTACAGACTTGGAATAACTGCAAAGGACTTACAGTGTGTGGAAAATTTGTACTGTGGAAAAGATAATAAATTGGAGACAATATTGTGTGGGACTGCTGATTTTCGTTGATAACACTCCACTAAAAACACTATGTTTTCTGGAGAGCTGTGTAAGCTGTCTTGTTGCTTAATTGCAATATGAGAAATAGTGATGTTTTTGGAAGTAAGTTGTCAACAAATTTTCTTTCTATTTTATATTGTCTGTCATATTTTTATGTAGTTTGAAATGTTTAAATGTTCTAATATCAAGATTAACAAATATAAATTTATGGTGCATTTAGATTGTGTTGTATTAATTTGTAAAGTTTGGTATTCATTAAATCAATAGGCTGTTGTAAAGCTTTCCTGTGACAAATGCCACATAGAGGCCCAAAGTGCATTACCATCTGGGGAGTTCCTGTGTGTTCTGCCTTTAAACCTTCAGTCATGAATGCTCTGATAAATGCACTGTGGATGGATGTTTGGAGAATCAGCAGATACACTTTAGCTAGAATGTGTTCTCTGAATAATGGCTAAAATGCATCATGTCTCACCCAGTGGTCTTTAGATGAAAATGCTGATTGATAAATGAGAAGTTTCTTTGATATTTTTGTCAAAGGAACCACTAATTACTAAGAGTATGGAGAGTTTCACAAAATCTCCTGTAAATTATGATTGTTTATTTTCCTTTGCTCCTGTTGCCAAAAACTACTAAGATTTTTAAATGATGTTTATATAGGCTGATACTTTTATATTTAACAGACTAAGTATTGTATTGTAAAGACAAACATTGACTGAAATGAAGATAGCATTTTGGATAATAAATACATAATAAAGATAATCTGAAAGGTAAGATTTTGGATCAAGCTCTAAAGCTATCTAAAAAGGGGAAATAGTCATGCATAAAAAAGCTGAAAAGGTTAAGGGAATGCCTTACATTTCATTTTCATATAACCAGCAGGAGGGATTCTTCTCGCTGAAAATTTCCAAAGGGAAGAAAACTTCATTGATTGATAGAAAAGATGAGCACTGCTGAAGCATGGAGGCTAGGGGAGGGTGCGTGTACTTCTAGCAAGGTAACCGCTAGTCTCATCAGCATGGCGTGTGGGTCAGCCAGGTGCTCCTGAGCCTGGGGAGAGAACAGTTTCCATCAGGAAGTGTCCTGTGGGTGCAGCATTTTCCACGTTCATTTCTAGATTTATCCAAGGAATATTTACTGCTTTATGTTGTTTACAATTTTAATTTCACATGAATACAGTACTCTGTACATTCAACAGGAAAGAAATGAATTTTGGAAAGTCACAATGATTTCTGTTTTATATCATTTATATAATTATAGCATTTTTATAATTTTTTAATTACCCACTTGTTTTATGTTAACATTTAAAAGTTATTGTGTCTTCTTGCTTTTAAAAGTAATAACTTACTGTTAAAAGGGGGAAAAAGAACATTAGTTATAGGAAAAGAGTAAAAGAAAACAAGAGGAAGCAAATCAAATTCTACTACCCAAAAGAACTACTTCGGGTATTTTGGTATGTTTTCTGCCAGATATTTTTCTACACATGGATGTATATTTTACATAATTGAAATCATATATTCATTTTCATATCATGCTTTTTCACTTAAGAATTTCTCCAAATCATTAAAATCCTTTATGAGCAACATGTTAATGGCTGTATAATGCTATTGTATGGATTTACCATAATCTCCTTAAACATTCATGTATCATTAAACATTAGGTTGTTAACCAAATTCGTGAAATGTGGAGTGATAGCATGGAACATTTATTGAACACTTTATTGCCAGACACTGTTTTAAACTCATATAGTCTCAATTTTATATCAAACCCTGTAAGGTAGGTGCTTCTTAAAAAATCATTTAAAAATTTCCATTTGGCTGATGAACCACTAGCCCAGAAAATTAATAATTTGCTGCAGGTCACATAGCTAGTAATTGGGAGAACCATGTATTTAACTTTTAAGCTATCTAGTGTATTTTTTAAGAAGTGTATTGAAAATGTAGACATTTTTAGTTCACGTTTTTATATATGTACATTATGTATGTGTGTATGCACACACATATAGCCCACATACCTACTTGAGATAGATCTTATTTTAAACATTTTGTACATATGGCTGTACTGATAGCGTTCCCACAATACTTTAGTGTATGACTAACTTTACTTCATGCCATTGTTTCTGAGTTACTATTTGGATAAAACTTGAGTTGTGTTTTGTTTTTCAACTAATCAGAATTTGTTTGATCATATCAGTTTTTTTCATTCTTAATTTAAAAAGTAAGTGAAAGAAAATCTAGGTTTAAATTTTAATCATATTGACCCTATTTTTGGATCTTATATGAGAGTGTTGTCTTGTTTAAAATGATTTAGGTGGTAAAAGATAATACAGTCTTCTTAATCCATTAAACAACTGTTTACTAGTCTACTGTGTATCACTGATGTGAGAAGCATAGACTGTAGACTAATATGACATGTGCTTACTTTAGCAAAATAGATTAGATGGAAGTTCTTGTAAGGGATATAAGTGTAAAATATTGGGAAGCTGGGAGCTTGTAAAGGAGGGATTTTACAGTTCAAAAATATTGTGATGAGTAATTTAATGGTGCGCCTTTGCAGAAGGCATGGGGATCTATTGTGGAAACATAGGACTAGGGCCAAGTTACAGGGCTTCTGCTAATTAGTAGTCTGGTTTTAGCAAATGAGCCTGCAATTACTGAGTTCCAGCCACACTTGATAATAGCAGTGAGGATGTTTATTTGTGGGTAATGCTCAGAAGCATAACATCTGAGCACTCCCATATAATCCTAGATAGTACTGATTAAACAGTTCCTCTCAACAGCCTCCAAATGGCCTAGTCTCTGTTGTTCAGATACACCTAGGTAGGAGCCACACTGATCGTAAATGAATTGGAGTCACGTTTCAGATTTCACTTCCATATCAAAATTGAGTTTTTTCTGGAATTCTCCGTAAGTCTCTGTGTGGCTGTAATTACTGCAGATCCATCTGTGACATTACAGAGGCTTTGATTCGGATCTCAATTTCTTCTTTGGGTTGAGACTAAATGTCCAGCCTCCCCTCCTAAATTGCACAGTTCTGACTGCCAGATTCTCCAGTATCCCGATGAGCCAGTTTTTACGGGATCTGTGGCAATGTCTTCATCATCAGCCTCCAAGAATGGAGAGAGAGCAGAAGCTAGAAGGTAAGGCAGGCAGTTTGTCTTCAAGCAGACCTGCAGGTGTATGCCAGGGACACCCAGTGGCACAGCCATTCCAAAGCTCCAGTCCTTAACAGCCAACCTTTTGCTTCCCAGCCTTTCCCTTTCCCCTAGCAGGTTCTTCCCTCTCAGACTTGGACTGTAAGAAGTCTTACCTGGATCAAAACGGTTCTTTGTGTCTTGCTTTAAATCTCTTCAGTTTCAAGTAGTTTTGTTCATACCAGCTGTCTAGTGTTGTAGTTTCCCGGAGGATACTGTGTTTATTACCTAAACATCACTTGCATTGTAGCTCAGTTCCCAAATACTCAGGTAGGCTGATTATTCCATCTGTGAGAATGTGACGGGATAAAGATCTCTAACGGGCCCACCTCTGCTGCTCTGTGTTATGGCACCATGGTCCAGGAGAATCAAGATCATCCACAATGAGGCACTAAAGTTTTCCAAAGTGAGAATGTGGCCTTTGTTGTTGTTAGATTTTTCAGGAAACCCCTCCCTATGACATTCAAGATGTTCATCTGTATCAAAAGAGAAGTACAGTATCAAGAAATTAAAGGGGGTGTTGGGCAAGGGGATAAAATGAAGCTTTTGTGCAGCAGTGAACTACTATATCAGAAGTTGCCTTTGACTTTTAAAGGTAAGAAAATTAGCCTGAAAATAGGACTGGGCTTTGGGCTGTGGGAGAGGATTGAAGAAGGGGGGAGGAAGGGCCCGTGTATTGTCAGACCCCCAAGACATCTCTACTCTTCTGGACCCTTCCTCATTTTTTATTTTTATTAATTAAAGAAGCAATTGAATCTTTTCTTGGTGAACTTTCTAATTGGCACATTTCTAGGCCTTTCAGTGCTTATAGAATAAAATACAAACAGATGAACAAGAAACCTTACACTGCTTGGCTCTACCCGAATTGCCTCTTGTGTGCTGCTTCTGGATACCCAACCAGTCATGCGGGACTCCATGAAGCTTTCCCTCCTCCTCTCTGTACTCCTACTGCCTTTTACTGAGGTGTCTTTTACAATCTTGGCCAACTGTCTAAAGCTTTACTGCTGCTTTCTTCTCTAGGAAGCCTCCTCCCATGAGTGCCCCCTGGCTGAAAGAGACACCACTTCTGTGAGCGTCCAGAATTTTCTGTGTTTGATCATATCACTTGTCATATTACCTTATAGTGACTCGGCTACTTATTTGCCCAATAGACTAAACTACATAAGTGTGGGGACCCTGCCTGTGTTAGCTGCGAACTGCCAAGAACTGGCAATATAGGCACAATACCTTGTGTGCCTGGTGAGTGAATAAATGAACAACAGACACCGTTGCTGTCTTCAGGTTTGAGGCTATTAAGGCCCTTCATGAATTGAATGAGTAGAAAACAGTTCAAGACTAATTCCCAATACCAGTGAGTATTGTATACTGACGTTTCATTGACTTCTGAGAGGATTCTGGAAAAGGAAAAGCTCAAAATGGCATGGAGTGACTAGTGTGTTTTCTTGAAGAAATATTTTTAAGCTCAGACTCTGTGATGAATGATGGCTCATAGGCCTTATAGGGGAAAGATTCTTTTAAGCTATGTGTAGAGTTTTGCTCAGTAAAGATCCTGAACATATTCAGGCTGGGCTCTATCCTCCAAGACTCAGCATTTAATGTCAGTATTTTATATCTAGTAATTAGTATGATCCTTTGTATTAACCAACTATTCTTTCAGTAATTATGTTTGTGAGAATACAATGTGCTGGACAAATAACAAAGAGAAGCATAGTTCTTACCTACTTCAAGAACAAATTCATAATTCAGTTACCACACTTGTGTGTATGTTTTGGTTTGGTTCAGTGTTGGTGCTGAAAATGGGGTTTGAAATCATGGCCTTTTTTTACATAGGTGGGCTTTGAACCTCAAGCCTCAGATCTCAGCCTCCTGAATTTCTAGGATAGCAAGCATGAGCCACTGGTGCTCAGCTACTACGCATGCTTATGAAGAAAAGTTCACAGGTCTCGGAAACTATATAAAGGAGGTCCAATTAAACTTGAAGGAAAACATCTTGGCTGAAGTGACCCTGGAGAATTAAGAGGAAGCTGATTAGGAGTTTCTGAACCAAACAATGGTAGCAAAACCATGTATAGAAGGGTTGCATGAGGGAATAAACCAGGTTCAAGAAACTGAAAGCATAGATGGCTGAATTTTAGTGAGGAAAAGAAAGGGACAAGATTAGTCTTCATCAGGCCATGTTGGAGATTTGGGGCTTGACCCTGAAATGAACTCAAAATTACAAGCAAGGTTAAGGAGATGAAAAAGTATTCTGTCTTGTATCACCATTACTTCCAGAGAGATTGAGAGTAATACATCAGTTATATATCTCTGAAAGTGCCCTCACCTGGTTCTCA